TACTACTACGTTACTACTATTTTACTACTATTTTACTATTTTTCTACTACAATTTTACAAAAAAATTTTTTGTAAAATTGTAGTAAAAATATAATAAAATAGTAATTTTTAAAAAATTTTTTAATAAAATTATAGTAAAAATATAGTAAAATAGTAGTAAAATAGTAGTAACGTAGTAGTAAGCAGTAGTAGGCGTATTGCTAACCTAAAGTAAATGTAAAACTATAGGTAGCTACGTACTATAAAGTAGCTATATAGTTACTTTATAGCTAATTACTAGTTAATTACTAGTAGTATTAAAATTGCAAATTTGGCAAGTTTCGGTAAAGTTACTGTAATTACTCTAACGCTAATGAATTATTTCTATATATATAATGTTATGTGGCTGAAGAATATAAAAAACAAATAAAAATGCGGACGACTGAAACGAGGGGTTACCGAGAGGGAAACTTCGCGAAGTTTGTATAAGCCCAAATCGTTATTCAGGTCAAAAAAAAAAAAACCTGTAATTTATCCTGGCACTTGAATATCTTATAAATATTAGATGCATGTTGTAATCTATTTATTACGCAATCTTTCTTCTCACTAGAGACATATGTTTATTTACACAATCTTTCTTCTCACCGTCAAGTACTACGTACGTACGTACGTACTTCGTTCCATTAATATATAACCATAAATAACCATGGAATCAGATGAAAGTACATATAATATACTGTATATGTATAAGGTATTGCATAAAGATACATATAACGATATATATACAATGAAAGATAAGATATAGATTACACACCACATTTGATCCAGTGACCAAGCCCAGTGACCAAACCAGTGACCACACAAAGTCTTTCCTACGCCAGAAAATAAATATGCATGTCGATTTTTTTCAAATAAAGAACTTAATGAATTGTAATATAAATAAAAAAATCAAATAGGATACAAAAAAAAAATTTTTTCTCTTGAGGTTACGATACCTATTGATTATTATATACTGTATTTTATTAATAACTTTAAGTAAATAATAATAAATAATCGCGTCTGACCACAAATAAGGTCATTGCAGATAACAAAAAAAGTGTATTTGACTAAAACACTGTATTTAACTGTAGTATAGAAAAAAAATTTTTTTGCAGTGCGTGCTTATTATTATGATCGTTTCATCTACATTCACCATTTGACAAAAAACTATAAAAATCCCAAATTTTTTGCTCTCGTCGTTTTTTTTTAAGGCAATAAAACTTTAAAATTGCTATTATGAATCAACCTATAAATCAAGTAATTGGAGGTCTGCCTTTGGTACCTCAAAACGCTAATATCCCTGTAAATGCATCCTTTGATAACCTAACTGCCAAACAAAAGTACGAAATTTTAACTAAAGGTGCAGTGGATCCGTTTACTAATCGTGCTGAAGCACAAGAAGCAGAAAATCAGACAGTTCAATCCCCGGGCGATATTATTTCAGGATCACGATTTTGATAAACAAAATTTATGAAAATTGTTTTTTTTTCATTAATGAATTTTCAAAAGAAATGAGTTTAAAATATGCTTCTCCTTTTCTTGGATCTTTGTATTTACTTTTATAAATCCTCAACTATATATTTTACTTTTATGCGGATTATAACTTAAGGTTATAAATAGAATAGAATGTAAAACAGAAAAAGCATTCATTATCCTACATTTTTTATAATTTTCACTATCCCTACAATCATTATAAACATGTACAATAATTTAATATAGTTAGATAAATCCATCACATATCACATATCGCTTGTGGCAATTTGCAGGCAAATTTGCCTACAAGACGTTCCTACAAGACATTTAAGAAATCATAATGTATTCTATATATTTGGGATTAAATAAAGTTGGCAAATTTGGCAAAATGTGTTGAATATAAATGCTAGTTTGTGCATTAACAGGTTAATACTAAAAGTAGTATCGGTATTCAATTATTGAATCCCATAATTTCTTATTAACATTAAAGTGAATATATGCGATTTCTAAAAAGAGTAAGCGCATACACTCTGCTTTCTTGACATTTTTAAACTTTGATAATTATGATCCCATTCCTTCAGGAATTAAAACTTCATTTTTTAACATGTTCGCGATATGATAAATAATATATATCTATTTTTTAAAGTATTATTTATCTATAGTGTCGATATGTTACTGTAAATACATACTGATTTAAAACTCGGAGTTATAATTAGTGTTCTAATAGTTTCGATAATGTTTTGAATGTATGTACGTACGTACACATGTACAAGCGTTAAGGAAACAACCCTTTATAAAAAAACCCCCTTTTTTTCATGTGAAAATATTTTATAAAAAAAAAACTTTTTTTCATGTGAAATTTATTTAAACTTAGAAATCAAAATATTTGTGTTTTGCCTGTAAGACAAGATAGAATCGATTTCACAAGAAATGTCGTATTTAATACCCAAAAGTTTAACGATTTTATTTTCAAAGAAACTATTCTGTGTGGATATCTTGCCATATGATAACCCTTCAAATCATGGAGAACATACCTAAAATTCGAATGTACGGATCCAATTAAATTGTCTGATTTGTGCAATAAAACGCATTCGAATTTTAAACATTGGTTTCCAATGGAGAATGAGAGCTTCGAAACTATTGCTTATCGACAAATTATGTGGTAAAAAAAGGCCTCCACTGTTATTGAAGTGCTCTTTTCTTTATTAATTCTTTCTTGTCTTGCGATTTTAAGTAGTTACTATAAAATCAGCGATTGTTGTAGAATGATTGTTCAGAATAATACATGAGTGCTGCAGAGCGAAAACCTGGAAGTGAATACTTGAAGTTTTCACTATGGCGAGTTTAGCCCCTGATGAATTG